CTTCGCCGCCTAACATCATGTCCAGGAACTGATCGCAAGCACACCATATGTCGCACACACCGGGAAGCGCTACGCTGTCGGGCACTTTCGGTATGAGTGACACGAAACGGGCCAATCGGGCCATTATGTCGTTCGTGACGTTAAAGTTGACCAAAAAATCTTCGGGCGGTTTCAGTGGCCGCAGGTATCGGCACACGAGCACCGATTTGGCCTCCATATTGACGGCCAACGTCTTGATAGATCGGTTCGGGAACTCCTGTTTGAGTTTGTTTTGCCACTTCTTAGCGTACAGTTCCAGCGATTCACTCTCTACGGTATCGCACTGTAAATGGTATGCAAATTGTTATTAAGTTTAGATTGTATTAAAATTTTCATAACATTTGCAAAGATTTAATTTACTTTTATAACCAATGGTTCGGGCGATTGTAGCGATGGGTCAATTGTGACAAACAATGTAAGATACGTCTGTTTAGACGTGTTTTTTGTGGTGGTATCGGATCCCAAGAGATAACTCTTGTTATCGTATTCATAGCCTAACAACACCAATGGTGTGCTTAAACTAAACGTACCTTTAAATGCAGATTATTATAATAATTAATTCATTGAATGGTAGTCTTCAGCAAACCTTCAATTTTTGAATTGAGATATAGTGTAGAGAAGGGGATCTTAAGAGATCCCAACCACCGGCGTTCGGTCCGCTTATGGATCACTTTCTGGCCATCGCTGGTAATGGTCTCTCCGGAGTCGAGAATCACTTCATCGAATAGATTCAAATAAATACAATCACTTATTTTGGCCAAACTTGAGCACAGGTTATCGCTCTCCGGGGCTCTGTTGGGAATTGAGACAATTTATTATTGGATCTGTTGAAGTGATTATCTAATCCATGGCTAAGCACTGACTTGAATTTAAGCGAAAACGTCTCATTCCAAGTGGGTTTAGTGCCCTCAGCGGTGTTGGTTCGGGCGCTCTCTCTTTGAAACACCGCCTCAACGAATGGACACACTTTGCACTCATAGGGAAAACCTGTGTTTTGCCGAAGAAGTTGTTTAATTAGTGCCGAAAGTATTTGACACACAAAACAAATGCAAACCCGTGTCTCCAGAGCCGGACCCGCCATAGCCTACGCTCCCGATGGCGCCGCCGGTGGCGGGTATGTTGTCCTTCTTCCTGATGGGCACATTCAAGCCGTGCATAATTGTTATGACAATCTTAATGTCGGAATTGCCCATCAAATTGATGGCAATCTTTTTGCGCTCTTTGCGGTGCGGATTCAGTGGCCGTTTCTGTTGGGCCACAGGAAACAGCGTAAACCCGATCGCACTGTTAG